TCAGTTTTCATTACTTCATTTTATCCTTCCTTTCTTTTCTGACGCAGGAAATTTGATAGCTGCAACAGAGCCAAAATGTCTGGAGGAACACTTCATTTCGCACATCCTCACAGTGGATTCGAAACCCCTGCCAACAAGCATCACGTCGTTACCTGGCATGAACTTTCTCTATATCAAAGGTTCATATTATGAGAAGAAAACTTTGTTTTTCTTGTATCTAAATAAATTATATGTGTTGTAGATAAACCTTTGTGAATTATGTGTTGCATCAGTTAGAAATGTGAATAATGTTCATGATTCTTACTTTATATTATTTTTCTTTTGAGTAGCAAATGATTTGCCTCAAGAAAACCTCTTGATACATTTTGAGGATGCGATTAATTTCATAGAGGAAGCCCAGACAAAAGGCAGTGTTCTTGTTCATTGGTAAGATTTTATTTTCGCTTGTCAGGATTAGTAGAAAGTTAATGACTATAGGATATTAATGAGAAAAAACAGTTTCTGAAATGTTTTACAGATATTAATAGATTTTTCTTTATTGTCTTTTTTTTATCAGTTTTAATTATTTAGTCTTTTGTAAAAGTTTTCATTTATATGAAAATATTTAGAGTGGTAGTTGCTAGAAGTAAACTTTTATCAGTAGATGATTGAAAGCTTATGATGATGAAAGCAATAATGGTGATAGTAATAATAACAATGATAATAATGGTAAAGACAATAAGATAATAGTAATGATGATAATTATTGCAGTGATATCATATTATTCATAGATATAACATCTATTTTTCTTTCAGTTTCTTTGGTGTGTCCAGAAGTGCTACACTAGTAACTTGTTTTTTAATGAAAAAGTACAGAATCACATTTGATGAAGCTCTAGGGAGGTAAATGTGAGAGATTAATGCTGCTGCATATTTGTTATTTGTTGTTAGCTTATAGATATATAGCTTATGTATAGCATATATTATGTGTCTGCTTATAGTTTTGACATACAGGAAATGTAGAATGCATATGTCATCAAAAATTCTTGATTTGTTGCTTGAATAATCATTAGTTAAAAGAATTTGTATTAAAGATTCTTATTTTCCATCTTTTCTGAAATAAGAAAAATGTTTTTCTTGTTATATTACAATTACAGAATCAAGGCAAGAAGAGGGTGTGTAGGTCCTAACTCTGGATTTTTGCAACAGCTTTATCTTTTTCAAAATATGGGATGGAAATTGGCAGAAGATCATTTTCAATTCCGAGCTTTTCTGCTGAAGTCATATGCATTTGCAATCAGTAAAGGTAAGTATTTGCAGTACTTGTATTGTATATAAGTTCTAATTGAAGTTTGTCACTCACCCACTTACTGCCTTGAATTAAAAAAAAAAAAATTAAATGTATATAATAATATATGTCTTATGTATGATTTTTTTTCTTATGTGTATGTTCTTCATAATACTTGAAATTAAGTATTTGGATAATGGGTTTGGCATTTGTATGAAATAGGTAGAAAGGTGGATGAAAATAAGTACAAGTGTTTGGTGCAGCCAGATCCAAGGACTACACCAAGTGAGAGTCCAGTTATATACAAATGTAGAATGTGCAGGTAAATAAAAGCTGTTTTTGTTTTCAGTAGTCTATGATATAGTCTTTAACTCTCAGTCTCTTAGCTGTTTTTTTCTGCATTCATATACTATAATCTTGCCCATTAGAATATTTAAGTGTCAGAAATTTGTCAAGGAAGACAGTTGTTCTGATATGTAGGGATGGATATTTTGATTAAGTAAGGAGAGGTTCAGTTTAGAATTGAGCAATTTTTTTTATTTTTTCATTTGATAAAGTAACCATTACTATTTCTCAGATCTTCATTAGTGAGAAAGGATTCTATCATGCCACACTGTGACGGTCAGAGTCCCTTCTGGAATGACACTAAGTGGGCTGAACCATGGGACGACGCTTCACTTTGTACCCAAGGCATATTCACACTCCCAATATCCTGGATGGCTGATTTTACATCTGAACTGAAAGGGAAGCTAACATGTGCCAAGTGCCAGGCAAAACTCGGAAGTTATGACTGGTGTGGAGGTAAGGACACAAAATATGGACAAATACACATTTTCAGACAAAGACACATATAATAACTCTTTATGTGATTTTGGCATTTCTTTTAAAATTTACATTGACTATATACATGCATACATACATACATATATAACTATAGATGTAAATTTTTTAGTGTTTGTGTCAAATATATAGAATAGCACCTATTTCAAATATATAGAATAACGCCTATATCAAAACAATATAGATATACATATTTTCTGGTACTTGATATGATCTTTGGTTCATATCCTTATTTTTTTTTACACTCTTACCAATATCAACTGTAATTTTTTTTCTCTCACTCTTTCAGGGAAATGTCCATGTGGAGCAAAAATAACACCTGCCTTTTTCTTTATTCCGTCAAAAGTGGATAAATGCTCCTGATCATATATCAGGATTAAAAAAATCAGTATCA